CGTCAAGCGAGCTGTCCGAGCAACATCCATCTATCCGGATATCGTGAAACGTCGACTACTTCATTCGACGTCGATCAAGCTAAGTCGGATTTTTTGTTTAGTTATAAATAAATATTTTTTATATCTGTGCATCCTCGGTATTTTTCTACCTGTTTCCTCGATTATTAATAACAGCGGCGCACTTGCCATTGGCACGTCAACGATCCGCTCATCGTGGACACGATGTCCCGAGTGATAATCAGAGTCCGGCAAGCTAACGAAGAGCACGTATGAACCCGACGGCAGCCCTCGACCAAGTCCCTCGCAGTCCGCCGATCCGTCGTCGCCCGATATCGACTCGACGCCGTCTTGCGACGCCATCTCCGGCAATACCACCCCGTGTCCAGACTGCAAATAACACCAACGACGCGCCATCAGCACCAGACCAGAACCACGCATGTGGCAAGATTATTCTGGGCGGCTGACATGCTCGATGTCATGCAAGAAGCTAGCAAGCTATTGAGAAATTCAAACGTGAATGTCATGATATCAGGCATGCTCGGACAACGTCGTACCACTCGTGCACTAAGCAGCTAAGTCACGTTTCTTATATTTCAATTAAATATTCTATGATACATGTATATCTCTCAATATCCTGCATGTATATACATAACTACTATTGGCAGGAGCCGACGATAGCTCTCATCATCATCGCTCCGAGGCGGCCCTGTCGATGTCCTGCGTCGTTTTATCATCATAATGTTTCGACTCTTGATTCGTCATTCCAGGTGGCTCTCGTCATCAGCACACCGTGGCTCGTCGATTCGTCATCCACATCGCCGAACGCGTCATCGAACCGGGTGTACGGTGGAAGCATCACTGGCAACGACTAATCAGACGCACCATCGATGGACTACTTCGGGCTAGCCGTGCCGCTTCCGACAATATCGTCGACAAGTACTACTCAAGCAATGTCGGCAGGCATCCTCGGGATGGTCTCGATCAAATTCTCATCATGGCTCACGACCTCCCGCCATCCTTTGTCGTGGCAGCACTCTACTACAACGGCACCATCATCTCATTGGATCAGCTAAGTGATTTCTATAATTATTTTCATTATGTTATCTTTTGCTCCTACTTTCTATTAAGTTAGCCTCTAACTTAGCAGAAAGTCAGGAGCTACTACACATAATAATCGCACTCTGGTGCATGCCCACCTTTTTTCTCAACGATTTAAGTACCTGATATGCAGGCACGGATTTGGGCCTGGGGCAACTAGGGCCGTGGCCCTAGGCGTGGCCCAAAACATCCCTTATAATAAAAGTAAATTTGTAGCCTAGCTTTAAGAGTTGCGCCAAATGTTGTAGCATTCTGGCCCAACACAGAGAGGAGAGAAGCACGCCATTCGCGAACGCGCGCTTGTCCGATTCCCCGACCTCGTTCCTGCTTCTCTCCAAGACTCCGACTCTCCGTAGTACAAAGTCTGGACGCCATCTCAGCTGCTATGCTAACCCTAGCCGTCGCGCCGGCCGTAGTCCTCCATGGCTCCGAGCCTCTGACGCTTTGCTTTGGCCGAGCAGGCAGCAACGGCAGGCTGCATCTCAGCCTCGGCGTGGCCGCAGGCCGCGTGGGCAGGCATCACCGCAGGTCCGTAGCTGCCTATGTGTTGGCGTGCTGCCTTTGTGGCTCTGTTCGTTGCCGATTGCAAAATGAAGACTAGAAGAGTACAGACTGAGGCTTGGCATTGGACTATTGGTAATTCCCCATTCTCAATTTCTACGCCAATTATACAACCAATGTCACAAACCGAATCTTCTATATAAGCGGAATCAGTAGTAGTAGAAGAAACACGTGTAAACACTGTGGAATTGAGATATTTATATTTATGCATTTATATTATTTATATTTATGCATTTATGAGCTAGTTTTTTTTTATCTATCGATATTGGACCCTATGTTAATGGTATTTTGACCAGATGTTGGTGATATACAAATTTGATTGTGGCCCTAGGCTTCAAAAGTTATGAGCTCTGTCACTGGTGATATGTCTATGTGTAGAGCTTTGTCAGCAACAACGACTTACGTCACAACCCAATAATGTACGGGTCACACCATCATATGGCTAGTGTCATACGCACGGGCCTACAGTCAAGTGGACAAAGTACATAACACAAGGGGAAAACAACGTCAAGCAGAAAAGGGATAAGTCAACTCGATAACGACCACCGAGTGGTCCAAACCCATCTAGACATGTGAATCTATACGAAGTACCCGACCACAAGAGAGTCTGTTGTGCTCGACGGGGTGCTTGATCTCAAGTTAGTCCAAGGTGCTCAGTCTATTACTATTTGTGCTTGATCATTAGAGAGTCCGTTGTACTCGACAGAGTACTTGATCTCAAGCGAGCCCAAAGTACATTACGAAGTACACCATCATGCGAGGATCCGAAGTCTCGATGGAGTCTTGACCTCAAGTGATCCAAGTACTTATTAATCTTGAAGTGCCCATTATGCGAGGGTCCGTTACACTCGACGGAGTGCTTGACCTCAAATGATTAAGGAACTCGTTAATATTTTCCAAAGTACCATCAAAAGAGGCCCATTGCGCCTGGCGGAATGTTCGATCTCAAGTGATCAAAGTACTACAAATCAATAAGTCACAAAGTACTCTTTTATTTTCACCAAACCTCAATACGATGCTTCCCAACGGATCGGAGCTGCACGTATGGAGTCCAGCACTCGGGAGTGCTCGAGTTGATTAAACAAAATGACGTTCTAATGGCAAGTAAAGGCAATCCCATGGTTTACAGTAGCATGCAAATTAGTCAAGGTATTGAAGAACCTTGCATGAACATGCGGATGCATGTAGCAGCCATGCATGCCTACAAACCAAGCCGCCATACAAGCTGACTATAGCTTTCACGTACGAGCGCAATGCTCGGGGGCTCCCTCAAACATTTTGGCCCGAGTACGATGGTTGGGGCTACAGAGTTACGACGCCTTTTAGTCGTTCATACAGCCTAATTATCATATTTGCGAGTCAATTTACTACTTTGCATTTTATTTATTATTGTTAATCGGATCGTGCCTATTACGCTCTTATATTTCAGATAAGTTCTTCCAACTTTTTTCTTTCTTGCAATCTTTTGCTCTACTCCCTACTCGGTTACCTACTAACCCGAGTAGAGAGTCGGGGGCCACTATAATACTCGTATCCTATAATCAAACACTACTGGAAACTCGAATGTTTCTGTGGGTGAAGAATTTTTCTATGCGTTTTTTTCGGTACGCACAGAAAAATTACGATTATTCTGTCGGTGTCAAAATATCCCGACAGAAAAATACGAAAACCCACAGAATAATTATAACATTTTTCTGTGCATGACAATAGACACACGGAAAAATAAAAACTCACAGAAAAATACAATTTATTCTGTCGATTTTTAAAAAACGCACAGAAAAAATGCACGCATAAGAAAATATATACGCGCATAACCCTAACCTCGCTGCCGCCGCCCCCAAACATCCTCGCACGCACGCACTCGCGCTCCCGCTCCCTCTCCCTGCCCCCGCTCCCTCTCACTGCCTCCCGCCGACGGCCGGCCCCGGCCCCTTCCCTCCTCTCCTCCCGCCGGCGGCCGGCCCCTCCCCTCCTCTCCTCTCACCGGCGGCTGGCCCCGGCCCCTCCCCTCCTTGCCTGCGCTGCCCCGGATCCACTGCGCCGCCCCGGATCCGCCACCTCCTCTCCTCCCGCCGGCGGCCGGCCTCGGCCCCTCCCCTCCTTGCACCGCGCCGCCCCGGATCCGCCGGCGGCCGGCCCCGGCCCCTCCCCTCCTTGCCCCGTGCCGCCCCGGATCCGCCGCGTCCTCTCCTCTCGCCGGCGGCCGGCCTCGGCCCCTCCCCTCCTTGCCCCGCGCCGCCCCGGATCCGCCGCCTCCTCTCCTCCCGCCGGCGGCCGGCCCCTCCCCTCCTCTCCTCCGGACTCTCTGGGTCTCCCGGCGTCGACTCATCCTCGGCTTCTCTCCAAGTCCTCAATCCAGCCTCCGGCTGCCCCCTCCCCGCGGCGAAACCCTAGCCCGTTGCCTCGCCGCCGATACACATTTAGGTATTTTACTGTGTTGTGGAAGATGCACATTTAGGTATTTTACTTTGTTGTGGAAGATCTCGAAGTAGGCTGTGATTGCTGGTTGTGCATATTCGGTTTCCATCCTTCCTCTAGGTCTGAAATAAATTCGGTCAACTGTTGCCAGTAAACCGAGATGTTAGTTTGTTATTAGTGAATAAGTACATCAGTCTGCAGGTGTTTGGTGCTGAGAGACCCCTCACTTTTTGGGTCTCCAGTTGGCAGCAATTTGGTGCTTGCTGATCAGATGCGTAGGTGGTTTAGTGGTAGCTTAAACCCTGTCCAAGACTGCTTAGAATAATATGAGTTGAGTTCTGGTAATTAGATGGTGCATTGTTCAAGGATTCTAGATCTTGTTGATCAAAGCAGTCTAATTGCAAACTAGATGATGAAGGGTGTGGAATACTGCTAGTGTTAATTTGATGATCTGTTGTTTACCAACTATAGCTTTGTCGTGTGCAATCTGATTGATGAAACAAACTAATGCATATGTGATGAGTAGTTAGTTTACAACCACCGGAGCCGATATCATGGATAACATGTTATTATTGTTACATTGTCTCATATATTGGACTGGCTTTCTACATACCCTTTTGTTATCTTTCTTCTGAGTATCAACTTTCAATGATATGGATAATGTGGTTAAGCTTGTTGTTACCTCCTTTAGCAATGCATTTATTGACATGATTTCAAAATAGCACTGGATGTTTTTTTTGGGAGGGGGGGGAGATGAAGGTTTGTACTGAATAAGCAAACCTTTGCATCATTTTGCATTGATATAGCGACATGGTTACTTGTACCTTTGGTTGTGTTACATAGATGTAAATGGCTGTTTCCTATGCTATTGTGTCTGTCATGGGACCCTTACAACTCTATCTCTTTCTTCTGGTAAGGTCAGCATGGTGAGGGTCAGTGTGCTCAATGATGCGCTCAAGTCCATGTACAATGCTGAGAAGAGGGGGAAAAGGCAGGTCATGATCAGGCCGTCATCCAAGGTGATCATCAAGTTCTTGACAGTCATGCAGCGTCATGGTTAGTTCTCAAATCTTATGCCCCATTTCAATTGCTCCGTTCTGAGGACATGTCCCTGATTAGTGTTACATTATGTAGGCTACATTGGTGAGTTCGAATATGTGGATGACCACCGTGCTGGGAAGATTGTGGTGGAACTGAATGGAAGACTAAACAAATGTGGTGTTATTAGCCCTCGCTTTGATGTTGGCGTAAAGGAGATCGAAGAATGGACTGCGAGGCTGCTCCCATCTCATCAGGTTAGTCCAGTCCGTTGTATATAACACTTGTAGCATTATTTTCCTTTCACAAACCCATTTTAATCTTTTTGGCAGGTAGCATGAAGGATAAAGCAGTTTGTGATGCATAATCCCATATGCAATCATGCTTGCAGCACAGGATATTGCCAGAGATGAAAGGTACTAAGCTGTCTCCACTGTGCTAAAGCACAGTTGTTTCTAAGTTTATTGATGGATTAAATTTACTTTGACATTGCTAAAGCTGATGGTTGTGGAGTATGCAAATCAAGACCCGAGTTACAAAACTGATTTTTATTGTACAATTCTCTTAGTATGCACTATCATCATTCAAGTTATATCATGGTATGCAGAGATAGCACCTGCCTTGATGTTAGTCCTTATTTTTTTTATGCCATTGTTGATAAAAAACAGACATGTTGGCACAAGCAGCAGTCTGACCACTAGAAATGTTTGTACTTATTTCAGTTTGTGGGTTGGTGATTCCAGTGCCTTTAAGTGCCAGTAAGGATAAGACCTGTGAATTTATATTTTTGTGAAAGCGCTGACTCTCCCCTTCCCTAACTATGCCTTGTGACTTTTTTTTTTTTGTACTACTCTTGAGTGGCTGTGATGAATCAAGTTTCCCCACATGTCCTGATCTACATTCAAACTCTGCCCATTCCAGTTGCTGGGATGCTCCCAATTGCCATGGCCATCATCAGACTTCTTCTCCCAGGCACCATCACCTCCATCTCATTTTCTTTTGTCCCATGTATTTTCTGATTTGCCCCATGGGTCATTTTTATTCTGATTTGAATCCACCTGTGATGGAAGGTTTGGATGCCCTACTTGTGGTAATGCATTACTATGTCCTTACAGTTTTTCTTTATCGAATTTGTGCTTTATCTCAATGCTTTGTAGTAAATATGATGGCAACTGCTTTCAGAAATCTAAGCATTTGGTGAAGCGTGTTGATCCAGAAATGGATGGTAAGTAATGCACTCTTTAACAGGAAGTTCATGCTTGGGGGAAATCTATGATACAAACCTTTTTTTTATCCATGCAGGATACCCTCAGGAACAATCCCATTTAACAAACAAATGGTTCAGCTCAAAGTCATCAAAGAAGGTAATACTCATGTAGTCATGTCATCTTCACAATTTTCTTCTGTATGCTCCTAGAATATTGCTCTTGTGATTATCTATTGCATATCAGCACCAAAGGAACTTTTGAGGAAAATTCTGTTATATCCTCATTAGTGAGCATATGTTGATAGATCAGTTATCTGTCTTCTTACATTAGCAAAAGGAAAAGGCAGCAAGTTTACTTGTTTAGCTTGTGTAAGCTTCTGTAGCTGGTTCACTATTTATTTTAATTGTATCTTGTCTGTTAACGAGCTTGGAAACAATATGATGCATGTAAGTTGTCTAAAAGGAAGCCCACGGTCCACCAAAATGTTTGTAAGATAACATAGCTCTCAGTACTTGTGTTTCTATTATGCATTATTAAGCAACAGAGATATTTTTGTGCCAATTTTAAGACCTTTCCCTATATAAAGAAATGCTGTCAGTTGGCCCTAGTTTTGTCAATGACACATTTATCATTATTGCTGGTCTTTCCTTTTATGGTGTTATATGTAAACATATACCTCTGACTGCTGTTACTTCTGTCATTGATGGCTTGAAAAAACTTTATATCGAAAAGTTAAAGCCTTTGGTAGTTACATACAAGTTCAATGATTTCGTCTCCCCTTTGCTGGTACATACTGTATTCCTATTTTGTGGATACTTTAGGAAATAGAAATGACTACTTTCCTGTGTAATCATTGTAGTATTCATGTTGACGAGATGGAGTGCAAGGTGAAGCAGTTTACAATTGGTTGAACAAGAAAAAATAGTTTGGTTTCTTTTTCGATATCCATATTTGTGAATTCATTGCAGTATTCATGTTGAACATGTAGATGACCCGATATCATATCTGTATATATGATATATGTGCTAATAGATCAGACTGATTCTATTTTTGACATAAGTGTTGACTCTATTCACGATGAACTACTGATTTGTGTATTATTTGAATGAAACCTTGTTAGTCATGCACAAAAATTACTGTATGGAAAATATATATTTTAATATGCTGTTGCTACTGTTTTAAAATAATTTTTTTGTGTGTTTAACTCTTTTTTCCTGTGAGGTTGGCTATACAGAAATATTATTTTTAATCTGGGTGAAATGAATTTTTCTATAAGTTTACCTAGACCGACAGAAAAAAGTGTGTTTTTCTGTGCGTTTATTTCTTTTTTCTGTGTTGATTAACACATAGAAAAATTATAATTTTTCTGTGCGTGTGAGACCCACAGAAAAATTGTTTCTGATGGTGAACCCACTGAAAAATTCGTTTTTTCTGTCATTATATTTCTGTGGGTATTTTTCGAAGTACACCGTCAGAAAAATATTTTTCTGACGGTATTTGTATTTTTCCGTGGGTTTTTACATGCACAGAAAAATACGAGATTCTAGTAGTGAAAAGTTGCTCGACTAAAGCAAATCGAGCTATTTATCAAGTGTGCTCGTTTCAAGGGACTAACGCATGGAAGACCGCTCGAGTCTCAGCTGTTAACGCCCCGAATAAACTCTACGTACTACCAAAATAGCCTGAAAAAGCTAAGTGCACTTAGTTTGGTTATATTAATTAATTTCCATTCTCGCCAAAAATTCAAATAAATAATTTTATTGCCCTTTTTTTTCTTTTATGTTTACTAATTATTTTATTTTAAGAATCTGAAACAGGATTTCAGAAGCTCCATTATCAACCCGAATTTACAATCGGGGCTCTATCGTTCATCCACCCGAACACTTGTTCGGGCCTCGACGCTGACAGTATCGTCTGCTAAGCGACTCTAAATGATCAAAGTCTACTACGCGGAATATATAGTACGGCAGACCGCTCGAGTCTTGAATACTACAAATTCCCAAATATAACTTAAGCATATTGGATAGCTAGCGGAAAATACAGACAGTCATCATAGCATTTATACAAGGTAACACACACCAGCAGGCTAAGCAACGAGACGCACAGACAAGCGTCGAGGCCGTCACCACCCGAAATTCAACTTGCCGACTCAAGCAAGTATCGGTCTCGATGAGTCCTACGCGCATGAAATCGTGATAGGCACGTACGGTGCTACACAGCGGCCCGTCGGTCTGGGCAGGCACGTCACATCCGACCTCCTTCGGCAGATCCTGGACCTGGGTCTTGTTTAGATTGTAAAAAATTTCAAATCGATAAATAGTAGTACTTTCGTCTTATTTGATAAATATTGTCTAATCGTGGACCAACTAAGCTCAAAAAATTCATCTCGTGATTTCCAACTAAACTGTGCAATTAGTTATTTTTTTATCTACATCAACTAAACTGTGCAATTAGTTATTTTTTTATCTACATTTAATGTTCCATGCAAATGGCTAAAAATTAATGTGATGGAGAGAGAGTGAAAAAACTTGAAATTTTGAGGTATCTAAACAAGGCCCTGGTAAATCTGGGATCACCAGCGCCGAGTTCTCCGGCATCGAGTCGGTGCTGTGTCGTCGATTCGGCACATCTCCGAGTCGCACGTATGTGTATACACCAACCCTCAGGGTTTTCCAAACAAACACATGTACGTGTATGTGCACGAGGCATGTACGTGCACGTGCAAGAATGCAGTTTCCTTGCTTGCTGCGAATTTTTTTTTAATTTTAACACTTTTTCAAAACTAATTTTAAATCTAATACTCTTGGTTTTTTTTAAACTAACACTTTTGGCCGCGCCTATTGTCCTGACGCGGCCAAATGCCTGTGTCGCGCCATGTATGGCAGCGCGGCAGAGGGCTGATGTGGCGATGACCGGTCTGTGACCACGGCGTGGCGGGCTCGCCACCGCGATGCATCGACCTTGGCGCGACAATGCAGCTACCTGATCCATGGCGTGGCTGGGCCAAATAAATACCACACAGCGAAACCCGCCTTCAGACGCACCACCCCTCGCGCTCGGCCGGCTTCGGCCTCCTCACCATTTGCCACCAAGACGCTCGCCCGCTCACCGGCCTGCCTCGCCTGCCCACCCACACACATGCCACTCCACCTGCTGCCACCTCTCGCCCACGCCACGCCACGCCGGCAAGATCATCAGGCCGCCCGCTCCTAAGGTACCTCCCTCTCGATTTCATATTATTATTATTATTATTGATTTAGGATAGTTAGTAATTTAGAATGGTTAGGGTTTTATGATTGTTATTGATTTATGATAGTTAGATTTAGGATAGTTAGGTTAGTGAATTTTTTTGTGATTTACATAGGTAGTTTTTAGGTTCGAGGCAGTGAGTTCTAGTATAGTTAGGATTTTGGGTTTAGGGATTGATTATGTATTTGTTATTTAGTTTATAGTTAGTTATTTAGTTAGGGATTTTTGGTATAGATACTAGTTTACCCTAAACTCAAAAGGGTTTAGGGATTTTATGGATTGATTATGTATTTATTATCTAGTATAGTTAGGATTTTGGGTTTAGGGATTTAGGATAGTTAGGTTAGTAATTTGTTTGTGATTTGTTTATGAACTTACTAATGTTAATTTGAATTTTGTTAATTTGAATACTTTAACGCTTTTGTTTATCAATTTATAACAGTATGGTCCTTCCCACGCAACACCCGTTGTACCCCATTCTTGAGGTGGAGTACGACGACCAGCACCGAGCACACATCTTGAGTGACACCGACGCAGAGATGACCTTGCCTCCTTTGAGGCCTCGCACTCACACCAGGGCGCATTAGTAGGACGAGCGTTATGCGCCGTACATACGGTGTGCCGGCTTCCTCGAGCTTGTCTGTGTTGTCAACCACGGTCTTCCGCCCCTTGACCCAGCACTACTTACTGCAGCTGTAGACAGGTACGAGTGCATTCTTTGTACGTAAACTTTCTTGTAACAAATTTGAGGCAACTAACAGTCGTTCTATTCTTATAACAGGTGAAGGTCTGAGACCCACACGTTCCACCTACCTTGTGGCGAGATGACCTTGACGTTGCAGGATGTGAAGGCTATTTTAGGCCTTCGGTTGGGGGGACTTCCAGTGATAGGGATAGTTGACAACGATTACTGGAGAGAGCTGGCGGCTCAGTTTACTGGCTTTATTCCACCGAACGACGATGCTTCCAAGAAAAATAAGTGAGTAATTCAAGCCTATTTAATACTTGCAATGCTTTCTTGCAGCCATGGGGTCTCATTGTCTTTGGTCAATTTTAGGAAAAGTTCCGGTGTTTCGTCGTCTTGGATCATAGAGCGCTTTGATTACTTGGACCCACAGACTGAGGAGGCTCTGATCGACAGGTTCGCTCGAGTGTGGCTCTTGCACTTTCTTGGTGCTTTCCTCTTCCCAGACGCCTCGGGCAACACCATCAGCTGGATCTTTCTAGACATACTTCGCCAGCCGTGGGAGAACATAGTGACGTATAGCTGGGGCAGCGTAGTCTTGGCATGGACGTATCGACAACTATGCGTTGCCTGCCGTCGCACCTCAGGATATGCGAACCTTGGGGGTTGCTGCTACCTACTCCAGGTTTGGTGTTGAGAACGATTGCCCGTTGGGAGGCCCCTTAATAATGGTTTACCGGTAAGTACTTCGGTTTATTATATTCTTCGAGACAGTTAGATATGATGAGATTATTAGTGGCTAATTCATTATCGTGTTCAACGCAGAGATGGAACGGGCATGATACACTCCCTACAGCTCTGTATATCTGGACAGAAGCACAGTTAGTTAGATGGAATGCGTGGCGAATACACGGAGTACACGAACGGTCTCGACATCCTAACACAGCACCAGGTTACGCTCTCTTTACTATCATACCTGTGTCTTCTTCGATGTACACTATATCACAGCCTAACTCAATTACAAAATTTCAGGTGCATTGGTGTCCTTGAAATTCTCTGGAGCTCCAGGCCTATCTCAGTCCTGTCACTAGGGACGAGTCACACGAGTATCGCTGCGACATCCCTCTTATTTTCTTCCATGTGGTCGAGATTTACTTGCCCATCTGGGTCTGCAGACAGTTTGGAAGAATGACAGGCTGCCCACCACCGCTTTACTCCACCAACCAAGAATTGCACGGGTGCGTTATCGATTAATAACAATGCTACAATTCAGAGGTTTGTTTGGTACAACTAACATCGTTTTGTTGCAGGTATGACCGCAGGAAGAGGTACAAGACCAAGGATTGACGCGTGACACACAGCTCGTACATCTATTTGTGGCAGAACAGGGTACCACATGTGGTCCTTGAGGGTCCTCTACACGACCAGTGCACCTTCGACGAGTACCTGCGGTGGCTTCACAGGTCTACGAGGACACATATCAAGCCCCCGTACACTGACGTGGCGATTAACGAGGACTCGGAGGAAGATGTCATCGAAGATGTGTACGACGTTACCACAAGAGAGGACACACAGCTACAGAGAGCCATGCTTCAAAGATACGTGGTAATATACTTGAATTGTACAATTTGTTAACATTTTGGTATTAAGTATGCGTACTAAAACTATCCAACCGTGTTTCTGTACCCAGGCGACACAATTGTCAAGGCTGTCCAACGAAGCAGCGTTTCGGCTACACGAGTCTAGAGGGCAGGGGCCAGGCGTTCTCGCGGCTTTTGTGAAGGTAAACATAAACTTGTCCGTTCCGGAAATGTTTCTTTAGTGTATATGCGTTTGGGTAATGCACTAACTTTAACGTCTATTTATGCAGAAGGTGAAGAAGAGCTGCAAGAAGCTAGCTCAGAAGCTGAGCTGCATGGACACTCCTTATGAGGAATCGCCACTCCTGGCGCGGTCGTGTGACACGTCTTCAGCCTC